TCCTAATTAAGAGGGGCAGACAACCAGCTTGTCACTAAGACCAATTTGTATGTTATGCTTCCAAATCTGCCTTAAACCTTGTTCTTGGAGACATTGCTCATGGGTAGAATATAGAATCTGCATGCAAAATGTTTTAAATTCAGTCATCATCCAGCATTTGACAGACATTAAAAATAAGTATCTAAATGTAGCAGGCTATATAAGGCAGCTTCCAGTTAACTTACTTGAAATTAACTTATTTTAAGGTCTGAGAAGCAAAGGTCCAAAAAGGTGAAGTGGCAAAGAAAAGAGAAATGATAGTAAACTCCAGTTGAATGGAATGCAATGCTTCAATAAAAAATGAGAGCAATTGTTGGCATACCCAACAACTTAGGTCTGATGTGTATACTTAACTTTTGAATGTCCAGCCTCCTAGTAGTGAACATCAAATATTTTGGAAATAACTCTCTGTTTTAAAAGGTTTGTTATGCACCCAGCTGTAGCTATAAGCAAGTTTTTGACACAAGATGAGGAATAGTAAAAGAAGATAGGACTCAAATTGAATGTCATGAAAGACAATCTGCATTGGGTGTAGCCAGTACAGAATATATTTACCACCTTCCAGCCAGTCACAAGGACTTACATTGCATAGTACTGTCCTTTCTGTGCCTGAAGAGGGTTGCAAGATCAGTTAGGATGGAAATTTTGGAATAACAGGGTAAAAAAGTTTGAAAGTAACAGGGTAAAAGTTATTGCCTTTCAGATGAAGGAAGTTTAAAGTGATCCAAACACTTGTAAAAAAATCGGAGGAAAAAATAGGAGGAGATAGGAGTATCGAGTTGTGTTCACTGCCTTATTTGTAAAAATGATAATAAATGTGGAAAACTAGCAAATGCAGGCAGGCAGGCAGACAGGCAGGCAGACAGAGTGCTTCTGGAGATAATGATGCATATTTTCATGTTGCTAGATGAAAAGTGTGAGATTTTACATCCTTAGGATTCTCAGTAGTACTGATCCCTTGTTTCGGATCTTCTTCTATTTATGGTGCAAAACTATTTGAGATTCTAGGCTACCTTTAATCAAGAAGGTGAACCAAGCCTTAGGCTTGTTTCAAAGTTACCTTTTTGCTAGAACTGCTCATGTCTAAGCTACCACATCCAGATGTCTACTAGATGCCAGCAAAAAAATTTTCCCCTGTATCTTTTTGTGGATATCTAGGGGTCATTCAGTATTTTGCAGTAGAGATATGGTGACTTTCCAGAATAATAGAGTTGGAAGGGACCCTGGAGGTCTTCTAGTCCAACCCCCTGCTCAAGCAGGAAACTTTACACCATTTCAGACAAATTGTTGTCCAATATCTTCTTAAAAACTTCCAATGTTGGAGCACCCAAATTTCTGGAGGCAAGTCCTTCCTTCCTTCCTTCCTTCCTTCCTTCCTTCCTTCCTTCCTTCCTTCCTTCCTTCCTTCCTGCCTGCCTGCCTGCCTGCCTGCCTGCCTGCCTGCCTGCCTTAATTTTGCTTAAAAGAATCTGGTGTACTCTACCTCATTTCCCAAGTGTCTCAAAAACAAAAGTCTTTTTGGACTCATCAGCTATGCCTGGAATTGTGCTCCAAATTAGTGACACAATGGTATTTGGGAAGCTGTGAATGGGATTAAATATTGTCCAATTGATTCGTCTGTCCTATGTTAATTATTTGTTATTAGCAAATTATTTCCCATTTCATTTTATGGAATTATCCTCAGTGTTTAGTCAATTTAAACTGGAGGGAAGAAATCTCAGTTAATAGTTCAGCACAAATACCATTCCTGCTTTGCTTAATTCCTGTTATCTCTGCAAAAAGGCCTTTGAAGTTGTTACAGAATTATTTTTTTCTGCCAGACCTAATGGCTATGACAATTAAACACTTAAACTGACCATGTTACAGTCCCATAGGGCATCAGAAAAAGGAATGTGCAGAAATGACACAATTCTGATCACAGCTAATCCAAAAAATTGCTACCTTCTCCAACAATTGTCTTATCCTTACTTAAACAATTGAACTAGAAGGCAGGAAGGCAGTGGAATGAGACAACTTATCATGGCCAACTCATCACAGCCAATTCACCGTGGGCAACTTACTGTGGGCCAACTCACTGCGGGACAATTTAACAATCCAGTTTAATTATTTAAAATAAATTTTAAAAATATTTTAATTTTTGTCATTAACATTTCATTTTATCCCTCCTTTTGCATCCTTTCTTTAATTATTCTGTTCCATAATTTCCTTGATATTAGTGTAACTCTTGTCCCACAGCGAGTTGTCCTGCAGTAAGTTGGCTGTGGCAAGTTGTCCTGTGATCAGTTGGCCATGGTAAGTTGACCATGGCAAGTTGGCCACAGCAAATTGTCATAGACATGAAAGGCAGCACAGCACCTGCAAACATTCCAGATCAAGTCACTTCCCTTCAGCATTAACTGGAATAGACCACTGTTCAGCTAATAAGCACTTGAGGCATCAGAGAGCATACTGTGATGTTCTGACAAAATGACTGCCAGTGGGCAGATTGATATTTGTGGAGTTCTTCATGCCCTCTGAGGTTATTTGCTTGCTGATTTTTAGTTACCTGGCTAGGTAACATCTTCAGTAGTCTTCATGAAACATCTTCAAGCAAACAGCCAAGTTCAGAGAACACCTGATGAGGCTACCTGACAACTTTGTCATCCAAAAAGTAGAGGATGGAACTAGAGAGTCAGCTACACTGTACTTCAGTCTTACCAGACATCTCATGCTAACAGACATGAAATAATAGAAGGGGTTGAAGTTATGGGAACTTTGGGAGAGAGTAATCACATCATACTGGAATTCAACATAATGCATGCACAAGTAAGTGAACAAAGTCAAACTAATGTCTTAGACTTTAAGAGAGCTGACCTCAACAAACTAAAAAGAGTTTAAGAAAGATTCCATATATGGAAATCCTAAAGGACCAGTTATGGTTTTCAAGAAGAGATTGAATAACTATTTGCCTAGAATGGTATAAGGTCTCCTGCTCAAGACAAGACACTGTTTGGTAAGATATAAACAGAATAGATAGAATACTTTATTGGCCAAGTGTGATTGGACACACAAGGAATATGTCTTGATGTAAATGATCTCAATATACATAAAAGAAAAGATACATTTGTCGGGAGTCAAGAATCATAAGGTACGACACTTAATGATAGTCATAGGGTACAATAAGCAATCAAATCATACTAGGAAACAGTCAATATAAATCATAAGGACACAAGCAACAAAGTTACAGTCATACAGTCACAAGTGGGGGGGGTTGGATGATAAGGAGCAATGAGAAGATTAATAGTAATAGTAATGCAGACTTTGTAATAGTTGAACAGGATTGAGGGAATTATTTGTTTAGCAGAGTGATGGCTTTTGGGAGAAAAACTGTTCTTGTGTCTAGTTGTTCTGATGTGCAGTGCTCTATAGTGTCGTTTTGAGGGAAGGAGTTGAAACAGTTTATGTCTGGGATGTGAGGGGTCTGTAAATATTTTCACAGCCCTCCTTTTGACTCCTGCAGTATACAGGTCCTTGATGGAAAGGTTGGTAGCAATTGTTTTTTCTGCAGTCCTAATTATCCTCTGAAGTCTGTGTCTGTCCTGTTGGGTTGCAGAACCAAACCAGACAGTTATAGAGGTGCAGATGACCGACTCAATCATTTCTCTGTAGAATGCTGTAAAAGCAGGAGTGGGATTCTACCAGTTCTGTCCACATCTGTAGAACCTGTACTTCTGAAGAGCAGCAGACAGAGAGCAGACATAGAACCAGTTCTATGTCTGCTGCTGTTTTGGCCGGCCCGCCTGCCCGGGCTCTTACCTGACCTTTATTTCCTGCTTTTTCAACCACAGCTGCTTTGCGCGAGACAGTTGTGGTTGAAAAAGCAGGAAAAGGGGGCTTTTTCAAATGCTGTGCACTTGCACGCAGCACTGCTCAGCTGTCCAGGCAGCTCAGCAGGTCGTAAATTGCACTCGCGCGACTCACGCATGCATGTGCAATGCAGAGCAACAGAACCGGTAGTTATACCGGTCGGATCCCATCCCTGTGTAAAAGTCTTAAGAAACGCATTTGACAACTTCTTTCATGACATCTTTTTAAAAGTATTTATTTTTTCATGTTTTAATAAGTGTTTTAATCCATTTAAAACAATCAATAAATGGGAAAGTATGGCAATACTCTTGGTATTGAAATATATTCTTGGGAATGCATTTTAACTGTTTAGTTTCATGACCTTGAATCAAAAGACTGGATCCATCTGATAATTTCAAATTGTGAGCCATATTTTGCATAGAATGTTCTCCACACTAGAACTTTGAATAAAACATACATCAAATGTTAGTCTCCTTTGTTCATCCTTAAATTCAGAAAACTCTAGAAAGGAAACAAAAAGAATATAGAATTCTATATTTGTTAGCCTGGGTATAGGATTTAGCATGTTGTGTAAGCACTTTTTGGGGGGTAGAACACAGGTTGGAGAGTGAAGTTGATAATTAAACAATTAACTTGAAATAGAATTTGAGGAATAAACACAATAGCCATCTGATTAACACTTTCATAGAATGGACTAGTAAGCAATGTTCTGATGTAAGAAGTAAAGACAATAGCAAGTTTATAAACGTGTTCATTGGGGAATGAAACATTCTTACGTTTCAAAGTAAATTAACTTGTAATCTAGCTCATTCTGTCCTTGTGAAAATAGCACATTGATTTGATGGCTACAAAGTCATGAATGTTTGTTTTCAGATAATCAAGGATGGGTAAATATGTTACAATTTTAGACAAAAGGTTTCATACATCTTTGTTACAAATATGCTAAATTTTCTATATGTGCGGTTGTTCCAGTTATGAAATATCTTTGAAATCTGTTAGGTTGGAGAACAGAAGAATATTCAACCAGATATCTATTTTCATCGTATTAAAAGCTCCTCTCGTGTCACTCATGGATTTGATTTTTTTAATTGTCTGTTATTTTCTTTCCATTTCAGATTGTTTTTGAAGGCATCCGTGGCCGAGGCATTGAAGGAGACATTGCTATTGATGATATCTCAATTGTGGAAGGAGAATGCACAAAATCGGATTATGTAAATAACCGTACGTGGGCTTGTTAACATCTTCCAGTAGTGTCCCAATCTAGTGTATGGTTTCATAACATGTTAGAGCTGAAGGAAATGAATTCTTGGGGCTGTACAAAGCTTTGAAAAGGGTTTTAGCAATAGCAATAGCATTTAGACTTATATACTGCTTCACAGTGTTTTATAGCCCTCTCTAAGCAGTTTACAGAGTCAGCATATTGCCCCCAACAATCTGGGTCCTCATTTTACTGACCTTGGAAGGATGGAAGATTGAATTAACCTTGAGCCAGTCAGGATCGAACTGCCGGCAGTAAGCAGAATTAGCCTGCAATACTGCATTCTCAGCACTTGCTCCACCACGGCTTTCAAAGCAATGCTTTGAGGACACCCCTTTAGTTCATGAAGCAGGGCAATTCCTGACTTGTCATGAATGAAGCAAGACTTTTGCACTGTTTCACAATCACCAAAAGGTAGCATGCCATGTCCCCATGCCTACCAGTTTCTGGAATGAATTGGACAGACTAATTGGAAAGGTGACTAACTGTTTTTCCTCCTTTTCTTTGTTTCTTTGTTTAGATATACCTTCAGAAGCAATCAGGCCACTGCCCCATATACGGAGTTTCCCCATTTTTCTTCTTGTGTCTGTCTTAATTCATCAGAGGTGACCTTATTCCGGCAGAGGCTATAACACAGATGTACCACCCACTGGCATGAAGAAAAGGGAACATTTTTAAAAAGAACAAACAAACAAAAAACTACCAAAGATTCCTCCACTGACTGATGACTGACTCAAATAAAGATTTTTTTTAAAAAAGTATGCATATATATATATATATATATATATATATATATATGCATGCGCATTGGGGGTTTATTAAAAATAACAAAAGGAATGAACAAACAAGCAACTGCAGGTAAATAAATGTACCATTCTGGACGTGAAGGAGAGAGGCCTTCAGGTGCTCTTGTGTTGAAGGAGTAACAAATGAACAACAGGAGAATCAAATGACACCAACACACACACACCACCCCCAACACACTCCAACCATTAATTGGGAGAACTCTGTCAAAAGAGCTATAGAATTTCTTGTCAAAGCACAAAGTCATGGCTTGTTTTGTTTCAAAGACTAGTTTGCTTGTTGCCATGGAACCTTAATGGCCTGCCCCAAAAGAGATTTCATGAAAGAAGAGAGCAAGAGCGAGCACGGAGGAGAGAAAATTCCCTTCACCTCACTGTCAAACAGGGTATGAGAGGAGCTGGCATTTCCCCCACCTTCACCTACCACACTAGGTTTTTAAGCATCGAGTTCAATCCAGCCGCAGGCAGGAAGCAACCCAAGGCACCGGAGTGGTTGAAGACATTCTCCTGAAATTCCTCATGGCAATTGCTAGAAACTATATGTGGTCTCCGCTTTGCATGTGTTCTGCTAAGTCCAGGATATATTTATGGTGACAAGAGCAACACTGGCTTGTCTAGAGTTTGCTCGTGTGGCCACTTAAACATACCTGACACTCTCCCCTGTGGTCTTTTGAATCCCAGCCCACTTGCCCTGGCCCTGCTCCTCCCACATCCCATTCCCAGTGAACATCGTTTGTCCTCATCGAGGGACAAAAAAAACCAAACTACCATCTTTTTTCTAAAATGCCATGGAAACCAAGTGCCTTCAATGATAACAAGCCTGAGAAAATGGGGTAGGGGGAACACACACGTGCACATGGGAAAAAAAATTGTTCCAACAGACAGATGCTTGTATAGCTTCAGTGAGGTTTGCAGTTCCATTAAAAAAAATATCCTCTTTTTCTAAAGCAAAGTAGAAGAGCAAAACTATAAAAAAGGAAGAAACTAAAGACAGAGGAAAGCTACTTTTAGAGATGGATTGACTTGAACAACGGCATCAAGTCCTTCTGAGTTTCAGCTCTTTCATCACAAAGCTGTCCCCAGAGATAATGGCTTTTGGCTTCTGATCCAGGAGGAAGTGGCTTGGGAAATGGATCAGTCTGTATTTTTCAAGATTCAAAGTGGGGTACATTTGTGCCAGAAAGAGAAGGAGGAGGCAACAATACTTGGCAATGGTGAATTTCAATGCAGAAACACTGGTGTGCATGTGCGCACAGTTATTCCATAGTCCAACCTCTGCTCAAAATGAGATTGATCAAGAAAGGTCACAGTGCATATAGGAAAAGTTTAAAAAAAAAAAAAGGAGAGACTCTTTATGGCAAAAGGCAGGCCAGCTGATCTGGTTTCATTTCCAATCACGGAGAAGATAAGGCCTCTGCCCTTTCATCAGACTCTGTGCAAATTGTGAAATATTATTTTATTATTTTAGCAAAATTTAAAAAAATCACTTTTACAAAAAAATAAATAAATAAAACCTGTAAAAAATATTTTCAGCTACCTGGCTCCATCCCATACCTATCTTTAGCCAATTTTCCAATACACTGTAAATTTCCCTTTCTATGAGTTGGTAATGAAAATTTGAAAATCTTTTTTCCGTAAATTATCTCAGCTTTTAACTTCATTAAAAAAAGAGTTTTGTCTAAGCAAGAGTTATTATTATGGTTATTAATATGTTCTTTCAATACCCTAGGATGAGAAAAGGGGGAAAACTTATATGCAAATAATTCGGATATTAAAAGAAAACAAAGTATAACATTTGAGTATATTAATATTAAAAAAGCACAAAGAAATGCAGTAAAAATGATGAGGCTTGGTTTTTAAAAAAAACTGTAGAAAAAAGTTTGTGCTGATGATTCAGTAATTCAACTGAAAAAAGATAATTTTACAACTATGTTCAATAAAGCTTATTTCCAGGTAAGGCATGGTAAGTGGTGTTTGTGTTTGTTGAATGCTTCAGATACTCAACAGTCATTGTGTAGCTTGTTCTGTTCTGTTAGATAAAATATTTCAATTATTGAACAGTATTTAAAAGGGTCCATTTGTCAGATGATTGGATTCTACCAGTGGACAGATTCCTTATTTCTTCACCCTGAAATCCTGCATGTTCTCTTCAAATCATCTCTATGAAATTGGAAAATGGAAGAAAATTTTACTTTGGAAATACAGTTTAGATGTAATGAGGATAGTCTGTTGTGTGACAGAGCATAGAATCCATGAAGATCATAATGTAGCCTGAAAGTAAAAAAAAAAAAAACACTATTCTTTAGCATTCCATTTCCATAATACCTTTCCAAAAATCCATGCCTACCAGCACAAGACTTGTCATCTGATCACCACTGTCATATCTATTAATGCTAATACGTTTGCTGAGGATTAGTAGATTCGGGTGCATAAAAATGTTAAAAATACTAGAAGAAAAAAAATGTAAAAACCAGCTCAGTGGCATGGCATGGTGGCTGGCTAAGTAGGAAAAAAGTAAACTGTAATTCGATGCTCAGTACATGGGGAAGTGTGAAATAATCAGTTTTAAAGGCAATGTCATGTAATAACCAGCATTTTATGCACAACTAACATTAGGCTATGATTGATTGATTGATTGATTGATTTTGTTCCATCATGTCAATGTTAGCTCTTAACAACCACATTGATTGTCAACCTCTCAAGTAGACAGGAAATATGACAAGATGAATTAATTCTACTTTATTGTAAGGCTACGTTAACATAATCTTGCAAGTCTGAAAGTACAAATTTCTCACCATCTCTTTTTACCAGTTGATAAGCTGGGCAGGCCCCTTTTTAAGGTTCTTTTTCTGCCTGTTATCCAGTTATAGGCTCCTCAGTCTTATATCTGATCATTCCATCATCTTTTGCCCCATCTTCTAAGGTCATTCTTGCATTCCATTACATTGATAGACTTTCACTAGGATGATCTATACCCAGTTTTGCTCTTCATGTCTTCCAGTGGTGCACCATTGATCCTGTAATTAAGTCAATTCACCTTGCTGATTTTTATAATCATCTCTTTTCTTCACTTTTCCCAATAATATAGACTTCTGAGAGAGAGGCCTTCACATAATGTATCCAAAATATACTTTGTGCCCCAAGTGAGAACTTTGGATTGATTTGTTGGGTTTAGGTTGGGTTTGTGTTTCTGTTTGGGTTGGGTTTGGGTTTTTGGTTTGTTTGTTTGTTTGTTTATTTATGGCTACTCAGGTTATTTTCAGATGTCTTATCCAACACAAAAAGTATATGAACATCAATATCTTTATATCCTATTTCCTCAAAGTCCAGCTTCTATTGTCACAAGGAAAACCTTTGCCTGTGGAATTGTGATCTTTCTTGATAGACAGATCATTAAGTATGTGTGTGTGTGTCTATTTTATATATATATATATTTTCGTAGATTTTCATGGGTAAAGGTATGTAGGTCTAGGTGTGTTCGGGTCTTTTCTCGTGTAAGATTAAGAGTATCTTGGTGATGTTTCGGTGAGATCCCACTCACCATCCTCAGGATGGTGCTTTCGGCTTCGTGCCAGTGCAAGCAGTGTGTGATCAGAGCTGCCGTCTCTCTATAAATACTGGTGGTGGGGACTGGTGTGCTGGGCTGGTTGGCTGTGCTGCTGCCTCTTGATGGTTGATGGAGTTGATGTTGGTATAATGGGCTGTGTGATGGCCTTGTGAGTTTTGTTGTGGAGATATCCTGGATCTTGTGCTGTATTCTCCTGGGTCGTTTGTTTTGTAGTGATCTTTTTCCATTGGCCTCTGGTGTTTTAATGGCTTGGGTAATGGGTTGTGTGATGGGCTTGCGAGTTCTTTTGTTGTGGTATCCTGGGTCCTGCACTGTAATCTCCTGGGTCGTTTGTGTTTTGATCTCTTTTCCATTAGCCTCCTGTGTAGTAACGGCTTGGGTAATGGGTTGTGTGATGACCTT